GGAGGCCTTTATTGCCCTACTCCTTATTTCTCTTTCTCGCTTTATTTTTCCTGTAGCACCTATTCTCATCAGACACACTCCATATCTTTATTTATGTAGTTTCTTCATTGGCTGTCTTCCCCAAGTAGAATTAGTGCCTCAGCGTTGGCACTTTGGTGCAAGTTAGAAAAAGACTGAAGCATGTACGTGTTTGCACACAAATATACCTACTTGTGCACAGGGTTTGGTTACAAACCACGTTTGTGCAAAAAGGAGGCAGAGTATAGGATGAATTGTACTTACTCCCCAAGGTTCCAGCCCCTATTTAATTCCTCAGCCAGGTGTCTTTGGACAGTACCTTATCACACATATGATTGACAGCCCCAGGTGAAATATTTCCTGGAGGCAGGATCCACTTTGCTGCTAGTGCCCCCAGCCCCTTACAGAGTGGTGGACCAAATACACTCAATTTGTAGAATAAATTAATACCTGGAACAAGAATGAAAGTTACGGTTTTAAAACAGAGTATGCACCCTCTAAACTAAAGGACATAATTGTGGAAAACATGGCCTCAAAACATTTATGATTCTCATACATTTACCTAACTTCTCTGTGTAAATTTACTGCTGTAAAATTATCTAGGAATTAAGATAAGGCCAAGTATATACATTGAATATTAGAAAGTCTGGGAATTACTTTAACATACAATTGCATAATAAAACCAGGAACAGGCCCTGGCTGGTGTGGCTCAGTGGTTGAGTGCCAGCCTGAGAATCAAAGGGTTGCAGGTTTGATTCTCAGTCTAGGGCACATGCCCAGGTTCAGGGCCAGATGCCCAGTGGGGAACAACACATTGAGCCTTCTCTCCCTCTCTTTATCTCTCCTTTCTACGCTCTAATAAATAAATAAATAAATAAATAAATAAATAAATAAATAAAACCTTAAAAAAAAAACTAAGAACAAGAAAAGTCTTGTCCTTGGAATTTGTAAAGCAATGGCCTGCATTTTACTTTTCGCTTTGACAAAGATACAGTGCGAATTGTTAAGAGGCAACACCTTTGGTGATTTGTTTAAAGAAGGAAATACTTGATTGCTAAAAATTTATAAACAGGAAAAAGACTACAGGTTATAGGAAGCCTGTAGATTGTATCTTTCTCAGTGTCTCTGTTCATTAAGCAGTTGTATTTTCTCTTTATTAAGAGAAATGTTCACTATCTGGCTGGCGTGGCTTGGTGGACTGAGTGCTGGCCTGTGAATTAAAGTGTTACCGGTTCCATTCCCAGCCAGGGGACCTGCCTAGGTTGCAGGCCAGGTTCCCAGTGGGGAGTGCATGAGAGGCAAGCACGCACTGATGTTTCTCTCCCTTTCTTTCTCTCCCTCCCACTCCCTCTAAAAATAAATAAACAAAATCTTTTAAAAATGTTCATTAAATTATCTTGCCCATTTATTGAAGCTTAAACTTTTGCTTCTGTTCTTAACTTTTGTGACCTATTTTAAATACTTAAGATATTAATTTGATGTTAAATTTATAGCAAACATTTCCCCTTATTTTATGATTAAAAAAACATATAGAGCTTTAAATTTTATTTAGCCAAAATTATAAATCTTTATTTTGGGATTTCTTCCATCTATTCACACTTACCTTTCTGACTAGAAATCAAGCAAATGTTCATTTCTGCCCTTTAAATTTTTTTCTTTATCAGGTGACTTTTAAATTTTAACACTTTGACCTAAATAGAATTTATTTTGGTGTATTGTATTGTATGGAATTAACTGTCAGTACTTTGTTATTTATAAGCATTGTGATCAATTCTTATAACTTTTGTTTAAAAATAAATGGCAATTTCTCCTCAGAGATAGTTTGAGAACAATGATAACACTTTAAAGAAGATTTCAAGTTTTCTTAAATGTTTTTTAAAATAAATAAAGTTAAACACATATTTTAAAATAATAAAACAGAGATTAAAAGAGATTCCTATTTAATAAACCTTCCATTTCTAATCCTCTTTGATCCCTTTGAGGATCAAACCTTCATGTTTATGAAAATAGCAGTTCGGTTTTGTTTCTGAAAGCTGGTTTGATTCGCTGAATACTAACAACAGGATCTGTAATGCTGGTGATGATTCATTTATTTGCAGAACTTACATCTTAAACCAGGCATCAAAAAGATGATGCATTAATATGAAACCATGAAACAATGATTGTTCATTTGTATATCTTCTTTGGAGAAATGTGTGTTCAAATCCCCTGACCATTTTATAATTGGGTTGTCTCTCTTTGTTCATCTGTGAGAGTTCTCTCATTAAGGTTTGACACGGTGACACTGTTAGGCACTGATGCAATGACAATGCAAAACACATTGCATGGCTGTACTGAGTTATAAGATGGGTCATCCATGAGATGCATAATCAAATCTGTTTATACTGAAAGTTTTTAAATGATCACTTTTCAGTAAAATGAATCAGAACATGTATTTTCCTAAAGTTTAGGGCTAAGAAAACTGTTCTACCCCAACATCATGGATGATATACATTGGCCCATTTCATGATGGGTCATTTATGAGCACACATGCCCACACTGTGCCTAGTGTTCAGCCGTTTTTGAACAAAACCAGCATGACTCCCTTGCCCTACCCTCCATATTCACCCAGTCTCGCCCCAGTGACTTTTTTGTTTCCCGGGATGAAAAAGTTCTCAAAAGGAAACATTTTGCCCATGTGGAAGAAATGAAAAAACAAACAAACAAACAAACAAAAAAACCGGCAGATGCACTAAACAGCATCAAAATTGACCAATTCAAAAGCTGCTTTTAGCAGTGGAAAAATTCTCTCGATGGGTGTATTGCATCAAATGAAGAGTACTTTGAAGGTGACTGAAATTTAAACATGTAAAAATAAATACACAATTTTTAATAAATAAGTTCCAGTTTTTTGGTGTCCCGCTTGTATATCTATCTGGGTTCTTCCCCACTGTTCCTAGGGCGCCAGCCGGGGCATACAGCAGGAGCTCAATCAATACTTTCTAGTGAATGAATTACCGGAGGCGCATCTGAAGGGACTAGTGCTTACAGTTACACAGTTTGGAAACTGCCACTCTCAAGTTACTCAGCTGTAGAATACTTTCAAAGAAGAAATTTCGTTAACACCGTTAGGCCACTAGAGAGAGGTTCATTTAATAAATTATTGCTGCACTTCAGTGGAATCCATTACTACTTCAAGGAACTGAAGAGACTTCTCAGAGGACATGTCATGATCTGGAAGGATCTTGCAAAATCATTTTTACACCCAGAAACTCCAACGGGAAAGCAGTAGTAAAAATTACAGTTAGCATGGGATGGGCTGAAAGGCATCCTGCTTTGCATCAATACCAACAGTTTTCGGGGAACACATTTCACTCCACGAAATTTTCCACCAAGAATATTTCCTTATTTTAATAGGTTAAGAATGAAAAGCAGATATTCCTTCTGAAATATGCAAATTATTAACTCATTGATTCTCTTTTAGGATAAATGATTTTACCTGTTACTTGATTTTATTTTTATTTTTGGATAGTTCCTGTTAAGACAACTTTTAAAAATACTTGAAATACATGGTTTACCTGTATGTTTTATACACTAATTTATGGTTCTAGGATAGCTAAAAATGATACATTTTGTGATAACCCTTTATGAAAGTTGTATAATGCTCTTTTTTAAAGCTACATGCTTTCATTAACACTAAGATTCATGAATGTCCTCCAATTGTCCTCCAGAAGTGCTAGGAGAAATGCTAATTTTATAATTTGAGAGTAGTGTGGAAGTGAAATAACAAAAATTGATATAAAATTTAATTTTTCCCAGTTACCAAAATGGAAGGAATTTTACCAGTTGTCAATGCCCCACACCCTGACACAGAACTAAAAGCTTAGTTTGTGCCTAAACCTTAATCCTCAATAATATTTGGCAGTGGGAGAGAGGGCACATGTCAGGTCAAACAAGGGGTGTACTGCTATTTCCAAAGCAGCATTTGCAAAGGTTAATCTGTTTGTGGACCTCACAGGGGAAAGTGCAGTGTCCAGGGATCAATCCAAGACCCCTTTCTTGGCTGTTACCTGGTTAATAAACCACAGGGAGGGATAATTTTTAAACTTAATTTCCTGAAATGGAAGTTAAGTTTACTAACTTATGAAAAATACCCAAATCTGAGAATTTTTTGTAAATTGCCTTATATCTGAGAATAAAGATCTCTCATTTCTTCTACTGACACTGTCTCTGAGCCCAGCTTTGGCTGCCTGCCACAAAGAAAGCTGAACTCATGAGACAGGTGCTGGTGGGAAAAGGGAAGGGGCTTATTCAGATGCTAGCGACCAGAAGGATGGAGGACCTGCGTCCTGAAGCCCATCTTAACGTCTCAGTGGAAGCAAAGGTTTTTATAAGGAGGGCGAGGAGAAACCAAGGGGAGGGCAGTGAAAAGTTCTCTACTGCAGACCAGCACGGTCTATTCTGATCCTTAAAGACCCTGAAACTGGTCAAGACATGGTCTGGTATGCATCCGCCTGGTTTTTGTTTGAAAGTCAGAAAATCTTCCGGAGCTGGAATGCCTGCAGGACAGAGTCTGTATGTTTGGAAGTTAGTTCCTAGAATTCTTATATTAACATGCTGTTCATCTACAAGCTACATATTAGCCAGAGTCAGCACTTAGAGAATCTGTCAAAAGAATGGTGGGGTGGGTTACAATTCCCCATTGTTACAACGGCTTTTACGCAAAAGATAAAGGATACCAGACTACTTTGGTATCTGCAGGGAGACACGTCCTGAACACTTAAGGCCCCTGGAGTTTAAGAGGCTTTACCAGAACAGCAGGTCTCCTGACTCCGGGCTTAACCCTCTTTTCACCAAGACCAAAGTTCCAGTGGCAACGGCGAGAGTGAGGGTCAAAGTCAACAAACTGCTGGCTGCGGAGAAGTTTTAAAATGTGATTGGCCACGAGCATTTGTGAACAAAACGCTGTCCAGCCGAAAGACAATTAGAGGTGAGAGAAAACGCAGTTTCTTGGAGACTTGACAGCAGCCGAGGGTAGAGGAAATCTGGGAGTTGCTGTGTAATAAGAAGCAAAGTCTAGAGCGGAGAGGCGACCACAAAGTACCAAAGGAGCGGAGTAGAAAAGTGGGCTTTATTTTTCTAGAGCCGTTTCAAAGGAATCCTGGGGGAGCCCTGCAGAGGGGCAAAGGCCAAGGGTAGATGCTCAGTTGCTCTCGTTGGGGGAGGGGTGGGAGCTCGAAACTGCAGCCGCGCGGCCCGGGCTCCCGAGGGCAGCCCCGCTCGGCGTTCTCCGTCCTCCCAGGCTCCCTCCTGACCCCTGCGAACTCCACGACTTTTCCCTGCGCTCCGCCGCCCTTCCTCCTCCCGCGCTCGGCCCTCTAGTCCTCGCCGCCCGGGCCGGTTCGCGCTCCGCACCCCGCCTGAGCGCTGCCCCCAGGGGCGCGTCACCGCGAGGCCGGCCTCCGCGCGCTTCCCACCCCCGCCCGCTGCACTCGGCGCCCGCCTCCCCGCGGGTTCTACGCGATCCAGCCTCCGGAGGCGGGCGGGCGGCGGAGCGCGAACGCCGCGGTAGCCACCCTGCAGCCGCGGGTCGCAGGCGCAGTCCCTAGGCCCTGGAGCCCGGGCCGGCCCCCGGGGAGTCGGCGCCGCTGCTGGAGCCTTGCAGGCTGGCCTCTCCCGGGCGCGGAGGGCGCGGAGGTGAGCGGGTCCGGGCAGGGCGCGAGACCAGGTGGCGGCTGTGGAGTTGAGGGTCACGGTGCAATCGGCGCCACGCGCCGCGTCCGTCCTCCCGGGATCCCGCGCCCTCTGCGGGCGTCCGTCCGGACCTGGCGGGGCTCCTGAGGTCCTGGTACCCCGATATGGGGAGTGGGAAGGGAACGGAAGGGCGTCTGTTCCACCGATTCCGCCCCCAACTCCTCTTGCTCTTCCCCTAGCTCCCCCAGAGTCCGAAGGTTGGGCCCAGGAGAAAGGAGGCCAGGAGCTACATCATCCCAGGTAGGATGTGCCCGGAGGGGAAGGACGGGCAGGTTACCTTCGCCTCCCTGATAGCCTGTCTACCTTCCACTTTTTGGGTTGATGCGGCGCATTTCATCGAAAATCACACATCATTGCTTTGCGAACAAGGGAGTATTTCTAGGAGTCATTTTATTTATTACCCAATTATGTGACCATGGTGTGTTTAGGCCATTATACGTTAGGAAGTAATTGGCTTCATCTTTACGTGCCCTAAATTATGTTTGAACCCTGTGTTCAGCTGCAGCCGAAACTTGTTAAAAGTTATGCCCTAAAAAATATTTCTCTTAAAATAGGGCAGAGAGATACAGAGGATTTTTGTCAAGAGATTTCCATTATCTTTCCCACCCTTTGGAGAAGAATTGGTGTCAGTTTTTAGTCCTCAGGCAGTTCGTTTTTTAGATGGAAAAACTTATTATGGGCCATGGTTAATTATCACTCAGCACTGTGGGTGAAACTGGGAAAAACGGAACTCGAACTCCTGCTGCTACCTCCACCCTTGTGACTTGGCCGAAACTACAGCCCGGTTAGCGGCCCCCCCGTTGGGAACCTTTTTAGTTCTCTCCAAACCCTCCTACCCCTTCTGCCCTCACTCTTCCCACCTTTATTATTTCTTCATTGTGTCCATCTCCGTTTACTTTATCTTTCTCTAAGACACTTTTTTTTTACTTTGCACCTCTCCTCCTGTTGTTTCAAAAATTAAAAGCTATTTACACAATAAAGATACCCATCCTAGATATTTTTTCCAAATATTTAGGAGTCGTTGGCAGTTTCTTTCTCTTAGCTAGTCAGTCTTTGGGGGGGAGGGGGAAGGGAAGAGACATTATCAATAATGATAAGTTGAGCTAATTTTGAAAAAAAAATGAAAAGCCGTATCCAGGTCACTTTTTTATTGCACTGATGACATGGAGAATATACTTGTAGTAAATAGCATAATTACATTTTAATGCTGAAAAAGTTGCACAGGTGAAGGCAAACAACTGTTTAAAGAAAGGATCGTAAATGAGTTAGAAAGGTGAGAAAGAAGGCACACCGAAAATTTGAAAGACTAGGCCTTCAAGACATCAGGAGATGCATTTATTCTGTGCTCAGCCAGTGACCGTGACATTGGTGTATCGCCCCCTTTGGGTCTACATGTCTTGATGAGTAAAAAGAGGGCTTTTACCTAGAGACCTATTACATCTCTTTTGGTCTTGACATTTTTGAGGTATTCAACAACAAAGAATATTCACTGGACTCGTGCCAGGCATTGTGGAGGCAGCGATGGACGAGATAAACCTGGCTCTGCCCTCAGGGAGCTTTTAGTCTAACGGGGAAATAACAGTGAGTAAAGAAACAATTACTTAAGATAATCACAAGAGAAACTTAAGAGCTGTATGGGACGACATCGTTTTTTTTTTTCCTGCTTCCGGAGAAGGATGCTTTGTCTGGACCACAGGGAATAACAGTCACACTGGGTGGGGTTAAGAGGTGTGCAGGAGCTGTGGAGCTCATTCAGGGCCTTTTCGGTCATGGTCAGGAAGGTAGCTGTAGTTCTAAGTGCCACAGAAAACCACTGAATTTTGAAGAGGGGAAAGGCACCACCTTATGTCTGTTTTAAGATGATCTTAGCTTCATTGTGGAGAATGATTTGGAAAGAGGCAAAGGAATAAGTAGAGAGGCCTATTAGAAAGTGTTTCCAGAGTTTAGAGGAGAGATGGGAAAGACTTGGATTAAACTGGTTTCAGTGGAGAGGAACTAAAGAAATATTTTGGAGAATAGGACTTGGTGTGGATTTTATATCAGGGGTGAAGGAAAGGAAGGACCCAAGAATGACTCCCAGATGTTTGCATTAAGCAACTTGTGGATAATGGTACCATTTACTGAAATAGGAAAATCTGAAGGAATGAGAACATATCTAGATGGAAAACAAGTTCTATTTTGAACCTGTTGAGTGTGAGCTGTGCCTCATGAGATCATAACCACAGCCCCTTGGAAGGAGAAAAGGGATGGTCTCCACGAGTGGACACACTGGCCTTTGATAGATGAACTTCATAATCATCAATTTAAGGTGAGACTAATGAGCTCCATTGTCTGATTTTTTTTCTTCAGCAGCCTTCACCAGCTTGGATACAGAAAATGGGTAGTTGGGTTCTTCTAGGACTAGGTTATTGCCAAGCAGATGTGGTGGAGGGCAAGAGAGGCATCCTAGTCTATTCAGGCAGCTGTGACAGAATACCATAGACTGGAGGACTTACACAACAGACATTTATTGCTCACAGTTCTGGAGGCTGGGAAATCCAAGATCAAGGCACCGACAGATTCATTGTTTAGTGGGGGCCCACTTCCTGGTTCATAGTGCCATCTTCTTGCTGGGTCCTCACAGGGCCGAAGGGGAGAGGAGCTCTCTAAGGTTTGTTTTGTAAAGGCACTGATCTCATTCCTCAGGGTTCCAGCCTCATAATCTAATCACACCGTCCAAAAGCCACACCTCTTTATACCTTCACAGTAAGAGGTGGGATTTCGACATATGAATTGGTGGTGGGGGAGACTCAAACATTTAGTCCATAACAAAAGTGGGTCTTTTTGAGAAAGTGGAGATGAATATACAGTATAGAACCTCCAATGGATAAAGAAAAACCAGGAGGATGTCACTGGAGAGTGAGAAAATATTGGGTCAATGAATCAGATTTTTTATGCTGTCTAGATTTATCAGTGTGAATATTTGACTAGGACTATTTATTGGAAGGCTAGGAGATAGTGTTTGGAGATGTCAGAAAGTCACTGAGATGGGGTAGAGGCAAAGAATCACTGCCGTTGATAAATGAGTAAACGAGGTTGTGAGGTCCAGTGTTTCATCCACTTGAACAATGAAGTACTGGAGAAGGATGACAACTGTTGGCATGTTGGTATAGAGGAAGACTGTATAGATTGGGGGCCTGAGTCACCAGCGATAAAGAATAAGCTAGAAGTCAGTAGGCAGCAGGAGTGAGTACGGGGAGGGCGTATTAGGAGGTGCCACGAGTCTCTAAAGAACTGGGTGTTCGCAGGAGAGAAAAGGAAGAGAGATTCACACGTGGCCTTTAAAAGTTAAAAATTCACCTACCCCATCTCATGGCCCTGGAAGATTACATTTTCTTGTTTAGCATGTGTGAATCAGCAAGTTATGAATGTAAGCAAAATGTCTGAGGACACCATAGTCATGAGGATGGAAAGTACAGCCTAGGCAATATAGCTGATAATACTGTAATAACTATGCATGGTGCTAGGTCGGTACTTGAAAAGTTTGGGGGAACCACTTTGTAAAGTTTATGATTATTTAATCAATATGTTGTATACCTAAAACTAGTACAAAATAACACTGAATGTAAACTGTAATTGAAACATTTTTTAAAAAAAGATCTCTGAGGACAGTTCTTTCAGAGTTACTGCCATCCAGTAATTAACCCTGGATCTTTATATGTGAATGAAGTTAGGCTCTATTTTTCAAAATAAATACAGCACTGCAGCTGTCATTTGGCCAGAGGAATGTCAAGAAAACTTCCTAAACTGAAAATCAAGGAGGCCGTGTAGTTGAGAATAATCAAATTCTCTTACCTTGATAATATTCTTTAAGTACTAGATGCATACAGTGAGTCAAATGTCAACTCACCGAGATCATGACCTTGACATTTCAAGGAGCCCATATGCTACTTAAATCATACTTTTAGGTTGATCTCATAATGTTGAAGTGTCATAGTGTTAAGAATAAGACAATGATATTACCATTATTATATAACTGTAAGACTTGGAAACAAAAAATTTTAGTGTTGGAAAGGACCACAGGAGTCAAGTACAACTTCTTCATTTTCCATTTTACAAGGAAAACATACTCAGAAAACAAGTAGATTTCAGAAGCCCAGGCCTGTTCTTTCTTCTTGACACCATGTAAACAAAACTTCCGTAATTGCCACGGTAGTCTTCTCAGTAATTATTTAGGCTGTATCACCTGTGAATAACAAATGAGAAGGTAGCGGGACTCGCCCAGGTGTGGCCTATGGACAAGCACTGTGGGTATCACCCAGGAGCTTGGGAGAAATGCAAAATCTGGAGCCCTCATTCCAGACTTAGAGAATAAGAATGTGCATTTTAACAAGATTCCCAGGTGATCACATTTGCATTAAAATTTGATAGGTGCTATTCCAGAGCCAGTCAGTCCACATGGAAACTCCCGTCTGCTCTGGTCAGCAGGACCTGCGGCATCTGGAGAACTCAGGAGAGGGGCCCCTCGGCCGACAGAAAGAATAGAGGGACACCTCCCTGGGACATTCTGAATTTTGAAGGTTATGCAACAACAGCTGTAGTTGGAAAGGTCCTGTTGGAAGGGTGCTTCCTGTTGGTAGGGTGACGCATCTTAAGAATGACTTAGTCCTTCCCAGAAAGTGAAGAGAGGAAATTACAAAATAGCCAGTGGACTTACTGATACTGTTACTGCCTGAGTGGAAAAAGGGAAAGGACTGCATGCAAATTCCCCAGTTTCCCCTATTCAAGGGCAACTGTTATTCTTCCTCCAGTATTATTTTTCCTTATTACAAATGTGGACCCTGAGAAAGGAAATAACTACTAAAAAGGGCTCCCAGTGGGTAACTGCGCTCAAACAAAACAAACCAGCCCTGGCTGGTGGACTGAGTGCTGGCCTGCAGACTGAAAAGGTCGCCAGTTTGAATTCCCGTTCAGGGCACGTGGGCCTGCGTTGAGGGCCAGGTCCTCAGTTGGGGGCTTGTGGGAGGTAACCAGTCGATGTTTCTCTCCCTCTCTTTCTCCCTCCGTTCCCCTCTCTCTAAAAATAAATTTTAAAAATTAATAAGAACGTTATTTAAAAAAAAAAAAACACAGAACCTAGCAGCCATTTCTACACAGGAGCCTCCCCTGCGAACTGCAGTTCAGGGTGAAACCTACATTGGGTTCCTGCCATCTGAGTTAGTTAGCCCTTATGAAAGAGTTCCTGGAATCCTATTTCAGCCAGTAGGACTGAGGCTTTCCCGTCTAATCAGAGTTGCACAGCTGTATCCCCTATGAGCTTCTTCACTGAGTGGCTCCATTCTGACCAATGAGGACAATACCTTTTGGACCAGTCAAACTGTGAGGCTTGGGAATCTTCATTTGCATGAACACAGACCTATCAGGGACCAAGGGTGGGGACCCCTCTCGGTATAAGTCAGCTCTTCTCTGGCTATGAGAGTGCACTTTCCCTTTCCACCAGAGACTGTTTCCTGGCTGGAGCAGAGCAAAGCTGTCTAGCCAGAGAGGGTCCTTCACAGCTAGACTGTATCACAATTGATCTGTTTCACACTGAATAAAGATTCCTTCTTCACCACACCCCAAATTGGGAATTCCTGTGGACATTGAATTGGAGGCAGTGATGACTATTGGTTGACACAAACAACAATGAGCATAATTCAGGATCAAATAGCTACATTCATTATCTCCAAATACCAAAATAAAATATTAGGTGTAATCCTGAATTCTTTAGGAGAGGTGTTTTTGATCTTGACTGCATATTAAAATACCTGATGATCTAAAAAACATAATAATTCTGATGCTCAGGCTGAATCCCAGACCAATTAAATGAAACTCTGGGCAGAGGGACGGTGGGTTCTAAGTATCACCATGTTATAAAGCTCCTCGGGTCAATCCACGGCGCAGCTGAAGTCGAGAACCACTATGTTAGTCGGTCGTTCCTCCCTGGTGGAGGAGGCAGCTCTGAGATTGCAGCTCTGCTTGTCCGTCTACCTACCCCAACCATGGGACCCTCTCTTCCTCCCATTGCACCGGGCAGGGTCAGCAGAACTCCAGTCACACTCTGCTGTGTATGTGACAGCCAGCGGGGCTCTCAGGACATTGAAGGAAGCAGGATTTTTAAAAAGAGGCACTCACTCTTAGCCAGTTTTGTTAAAATTTGAGCAATAGCATTTACTGCTGATGAGCTGTTCTAAAATTGGATTGTGGTGATGGTTGCATAACTGTAAATTTACTGAAAATTATTGATTTATACACTTAAGGTGGGTAAACTCTATGATGTATAAATTACACCTCAATAAAGCTTTTCTTAGTTGCTGCATATGTTTCTCAACATTCATGATTCATCATATTAATTATTTAGATACCTAGGAAGCCAGTGCCTGTTCTGTGTTGTTGAAATGTCAGCACCTGGCCCAATGCCTAGTGGATAGGGCCGAATATGACACTGGGTGAGTGAATGGTTTGGGACAGATGGACGGATGGACGATAGATAATTATCATTATGATCTTGGGTTGTGGACTGACTTCTAAATCGGCGTCAATCACCAGAGAGCCCTAAAGTTCTCAGCACAGAGTGGGCATTGGAGCCATTTGTAACCTGTGTGCTGGCGTGGCATTGAAATGAGGGAAGTGGGTTTGTGTAGATGCTAGAATGTCGTGCCTTTCACAGAACTTCTTTTTGATTTACAAGTGCTTTACTGCAACGCAGAAAAAGTTTAATTTGCTAGCTAATAAATATATATATGTCCTTATTTCAAAGTTCCATCTGCAACAAGATTATCGGATGGGGAAGTTATTTCAGTCATACTATGACCCACTACTGCCAGCTTTATTTTTGACATGCACCTCAGCGGTTCCCACTTGCAGTGTTATGAAAGCCCGGCTATGCTCAGCGTCTGTGGCTCCCCTCCAGAGAGAAGGCCACACTGAGAGTGGGATGGGGGACGTACATACTCGTCTCCTGTGTCCAAGCCATAGAAGGAAAACGGGTGGGGAAGTGTGGGAGGGAGGGTGTTGCTTTAATTTATTTGAAAAGGATCCTAAAATTTTATTAACTGAAGTCCTTGGAAATACATTTTTAAATTAAATGTCTAAACTAACCTAAATTTAACCAGAGAGCTTTTTTGATGAAATTCTTCCTAATATGAATTGGACCGCTTCCCTGCCCTAGAAATTGCACCGTGATAAGCATACAAAGTTTTGTTTTGGTGATTTAGGACCTAGAAATGTCATAAAAATCATACCCATGTATAAAAGTATATGTGGAATTCATACTGAGCCTAGGAAATA